CGGCGTTCGAGATGTTCCTATTAATGAAATCAACGGTAAGATGGAGAGTCTTGCTCGTTTCGCTGTGGATGAACATAACAAGAACGAGGTTCCATTTCTTTCAATCATCGAAGATGATTTCATTTCTTCTCTGTTTCTTGTCTCGATATTTGTTTTTGCTATTATATTCTTGATCTAAACCGTGATTAGAGTAATCTGTACGAGTTATATTCTTGATCTCGATATGTTGCGTGTTAATGTTTTCCTTTCCATGCGCTTATAGTTGACCTCAGAAAGTGTGTTTTTTTGGGTGTTGAATGCGTTTATGTTGTTGGGCTTGATTGACTGATTTTTTGGAAGATGTGTGTTGTGGTTTTTTCTATAGAATGCACTACTCGAGTTTGCGAGAGTGGTGAAGGCGAAAACACAAGTTGTAGCAGGAGCGATGTATTACCTGACTGTGGAGGTTACTCATGAGGGTGGTAAGAAGAAGCTTTACGAAGCCAAAGTGTGGGAGAAGTCATGGTTGGAATTCAAGGAGTTACAGTGGTTCAAGCCTGCCATTACTCCTTCCGAACTTGACTGAAAAAAAAGGTATGAATATACGTGTAGTAGTAGCTAATAAGTACATTGTCCTCCAGTTGAATGAAGATAGAGATTGTAATTAAGAAAGAGTTTGGTCATGAAAAAATTGGAAGGTCTGCAAAATTAAAGGTGGAGGAAATTCACAGGAACCATGAAGGTGTGTTCTTCATATTTATACCACATGGAGCAACGTTCATTACTAGTCCTTTCCTCTGTTTTTGTGCTTTTAAGTGTTTACTTGCACTGTAAGATACTTTTTACTTCTGATGCAAACTATAAACCCTTGAATAACAAGCAGGAGGATACATTAAGTGGGCTTCTAAGTGGGCTTTTGTAGATGAGATTTGCATAGAGATTAGAAAACAGTTTCACTGCCGACACGTTTCGTACAACGTGCCGCTATATCCTCTTTAGCATCATTTGCAAGTCCATCGTAGTAGTACGAGTTTCTCTTTTTAATTTTGGGTAAATAAACCGGTCAGCGTCGAATTAAACCAATCTAAAACTCGAATAGATAAGTTAAAGAGTCGAATTTCAAGTCGGTATCCAATTGAATCTGTACGTTTCAAAGTAAAGTATTAAAATATTTTCACCGAAACTTCGGGGGTGGTATTGAACGTGGGATTATAAGAGAATTACTTTTAAAATATTGTGAAGTAAAAATAGATTTATCAAAATTTCACCAAAAACGGTAGGAATTGGCTCTTTACATTTTTGTCTTAGAATTTTATTAAATTCTTTTGCGATCTAAAATAATAAAAGTTGCAGAAATTTTGAATAACACATGAATTTAAAAGAATGAAGATTCTAATCAATCAAATAACATATAAATTTAATATAATTAAGATTCTAACTAATTGAATAACATTAGAATTGTATGGAATTTTAAATTCTTTCAAATTCAATTAAATTCTATAATCGAATACCACCCCCTGAACCAAAATCAAAAACTATACCAATTAAACCAAGAGATCTTTAACCGGGACACGAAGCCTTAAAGACTTGTAAAACCGTAGAGGATTAATTCCAAAATTTCCGCAATTGATATTTGGACGGCTAAAAACGAAAAATATCTAAAAATACAGCACCGAACCAAATAAAGGTAGACGATGAAAAGCCGTTTCTTCTTCATACTCTTCTTCTTCGTTTTCTCTCTCTCCATCTTCGTTTCCTCTCTGATCGCCAGTGATTTAGGATTTTGCAACGACGACATGGCCTTGCTCGGCGGAGTTCGCGATGTACCTGCTAATCAGAACAGTGGTGAAGTCGAAAGCCTCGCTCGTTTCGCTGTCGATGAACACAACAAGAAAGAGGTTCCCATTTCTCTCATCATGATCTTTGATTTCTCTTCTCTTTCTCGTCTCGATATGTGTTTCTGCTATTAGATTCTTGATCCAGAGCGAGATCAGAGTAATTTGTCAGAGTTTTCGTCTTGATCTCGCTTTACATCGTATTAGTAGATCTTAGGAATAGGAATTATCTTTGGGTGATAAATGCGTTTATGCTTGTTGAAGTGATTGATTTTTGGATGTGTTTTGGTTTCGTCGTTTTTCCCCCTCATTGTAGAATGTACTGCTCGAGTTTGGGAGGGTGGTGAAGGCGAAAGAGCAATCTGTTGCAGGAATACTGCATCACTTGACTCTGGAGATTATCGAGGCCGGTGAGAAGAAGCTTTACGAAGCAAAAGTGTGGGTGAAGCCATGGTTGAACTTCAAGGAGTTACAGGAATTCAAGCCTGCTAGTGATTCCCCTGCAATCACTCCCTCCGATCTTGGCTGCAAGAAAGGTATGCATATGAGTAATAATCAGGGGATACTTATGTAGTGAAGCAAAGATTGTGGTTAAGTAAGATTTTGATCATGAGAAATTGGGTTTTTGTGTGGATTAGATGAACATGAATCTGGATGGAGGGAAGTTCCAGGAGATGATCCAGAAGTGCAGCATGTTGCTGATCATGCTGTCAAGACTATCCAGCAGAGGTCTAACTCCTTGTTCCCTTACGAACTTCAGGAGATTGTGCATGCTAACGCTGAGGTATGGCTTTGTTTCACTAATCAGCCATTGATTTCAATAGAGAACTTGTCAGTGTTTTTGCGAATAAACGAAATCAGGTGTAAGTGAATCCAAATTGGTGTCGAAGTTAGGAAGTAGCAAGATTTTATGCAATATTGGTTCGGGTGATTGCAATATTAATAAGCTTAATGAACTATGAGCGCAGGTTACCGGTGAGGCTGCAAAATTCAACATGCTTCTGAAGTTGAAGAGAGGAGACAAGGAGGAAAAATTCAAGGTGGAGGTTCACAAGAACCATGAAGGTGTTCTTCATCTCAACCACATGGAGCAACATAATGACTAATTCCACTCCTCTGTTTATGTACTTTTGTGTGTTTACGTAACTGCTCTGTAAGATATTTCAACTTCTGGTGCAAACTTTAAAACCTTAAATAAACATATCAGGAGAATAAATTTAAGTTGGATAGAGAGCATACAGTCTTTTTGGTTCATACAATAAATGGAAACAGGGAAGAAGATTTTGATGACAGAAGAAGCATTTTCTAGACAAACTGCTAAAGCTGCTACTCTATATTATCCTATGGTGCTGCTATGCCTTAGCCT